GGAGACAGCACGCATCAAGAGCAACTCCCAAAACATATTTTGGATCTGTCCACACTGTTTTGAGGTTGAGAGAGCTTAATAGAATGGACATGGCCAGACAAGACCAACTGGCCTCTGGACCAAGGGAAAGAACTGGTGTTTTTTTGTTTACAAGCACAGCTGTACTGAGGAGGTGCCAAAGTTTAAGGTATTGAAGAGTCAACACCAGACAAAGCAGCCCTGACAGTGTTTGTCCTGCCAAAGGAAGGCCCCTGAGGTCCTTATTTGAAGATGACAAAGTCTAGTGAAGGTGTCCCTGCCCAGGGAGGCTGCAACTGGATGATCTTTAGGATGTTTTCCAACCCAAACATTCTGTGATTTTATGAAAGTTGGTCAGATGCAGATGGGAGAGGCAAGGTGTGATATTAATTTCTGATCTCCTCGATGGGACAGAGCAGTTGTTCTGTGGTTTGATCTGGATAAGAAACCAGGGGTAAAGCCTCTCACATTCACCTCTTCAGAGCAGCTGAAGATCCCCCTGCTTGGAAGAGCACAATCCCCAGTCAAGGCTCCCTGTGGCTTGGAGGCTCCCTGTGGTTATGGAATCATTTAGGCTGGAAAAGCCCTCTGGGATCATCAAGTCCAGCCATCCCTCAGCACTGCCAAGGCCACCACTCACCATGTCCCCAAGTGCCACATGCACACTTCATCCTTCCAGGGATGGTGATTCAGCCACTGCCCTGGGCAGGCTGTTACCTCATTTCCAGCGGTGTCCTCACTCCCAGAGCTCAATATGGTTTAAACTCCCATTTCTGATCATGACCCTGAGCACCCCCAGCCCAGGGCAGTGGGCTGCCACAGAAAACTCCCACCACCCTGCCACAGCTGCCTTTCCACTGTCTCCACCCTGTGGCTTCAGCCTGCCCTTGAAAGAAAAGAGGAAAGATAAGGTCAGAAAGAAGGTTCAGGTGAGGATGAGTTAAATATACACTTGAAAGGCTGAGGGGAATCTCCTGCAGAGATTCCTTGGGAATCTCTCACAGAGACAATGATGTCTGCCTCTGGTACAATCAGGGTGACATTTAGCATTTAGAGGATGGTGGCAGGGATTGGTGGCTCCAGGGAGATGTTCCTTCCTCCTGCTTTGCTGGCAGAGACCTGTAGCTCAGGTTTAAGGCGAGAGGACAAGCTGGCTACGAATCCTTTTCTTGTGACCACGAGGATGGCAAGGCCATCCTCATCTCCAAGGGGAGTCAGATCTGGAGCTCCTGTTGCCAGCTCCCAGGATCATGAGCAGGCCAGAGCAGCTGGCCTTCCCTTCTCTCCAACACTGGATAAACTGCTAATTTTAGCTGGGAGTGACCTTGGACAGATTCAGGGAGGAGGAAACCCTGGAGAAAGGAGGTTCTGGAAGCAGCCTAGGAAAGGAGAACCATGGCAGGTCACAGCCTGTCTGCAGTGGTGGGCAACCCCAAATGTCATGGGGAAGGGTGCAACATGAGCCCTGGGAGAGCAGAACAAGGAAATCAGTGATCTAGAGACTTTCCAACCAAGGGATGGTGTTGTAACAACTGGCTCAGCCCCCTGAGGGATGAGCAATCCTCCAGAAACAGCCCCAGCCCTTTGCCTGCAACCCAACACAAACCTTTTTGGGGCAGCTGAGTGACCAAGAAAAATGCTTCTCTTGAGCCCTGTTATCCCTGGAGGGTTTTCCTGGCTGTGGGCAGAGATGGAATGCTGCCCTGAGCAGCCAGTGGGGATGGAGAGGACTTTCTTTGGGCTGATTTGTTGCAGATTTTGTCTCTGCTTCCCACCAGGAACACACCTGTGCTCTCTGCCCCCCTCACAGCCTGGCTGTGACACACAGACCCAGCTTCTCCTTGCTTAGGGGTGCTCAGGGATGACCACAAATGCTTTTCAGAACCAGCCTGGAGTGTCACCACCCTTGGGGATGCTCTGAACCAAGACTCCTCAGAGAAGCAAGCTCAGTGAATTCTCCCCTGGCAGTGGGCTACTGACCAGCCAGGCCAGGGAGGGGGCCCCCCTGGAAAAAGTGATCATTGTTCCCTTTGGTGGAGCAGCTCAGAGACCAGAGCCCAGCCTGGCAGGGCATTGATGCCCTTGTTTGCTCTGCAGTGTTTGCCAGGGAATATTTACCCCGCTGTGTGTGGGTGGAGGTCAAACACAGCGAGGTGAGGGCTCCTCACCACCTCCCTTCCCTGGCAGCCTCGATTTGCAGTGTAAGCTCCAGGCAGCCTGTTCTGCACAGAGCAGGTGGAGACACTTGGATCCTCCCTTAATCCCCTTGGGAGAGATCCTGAGCTCCTGGAATGTGGCAGTGCATGTGTGGATGAGCAGCCAGTGCTGTCCTAATCCAAATAAATGCCCAGCATGGGATGGCATTGAAATAAAATCTCATTTCCCAGGAGGTGGGACAACAGCTTTAAGCTGAAGGAGGATAGATTTTAATTAGGTATTAGGAAGAAATTCTTGTCTGTGAAGAAGCTGTGGGTGCCCCTGGATCCCTGGAAGTGTCCAAGGTCAGGTTGGACAAGGCTTGGAGCAACCTGGGATAGTGGAAGGTGTCCCTGCCCATGGCAGAGGGTTGGATCAAGATTAACTTTCAGGTTCCTTCTATTCCAAAGCATTCTGTGATTCCATGGCTCTGTGACATGACTTTGATGCTGTTTTGCTCTTGTTTTACCCCAGCTGACCAAGCCCATCTCACAGCTCCAGGGTCCAGCTGAAGATGGAGTGTGTGCTGTGCTGAATCTTTTATTAGACATGAGAAAATCCATGCTGCTGGGAGTGCCCGGGCTCTGAGGAAAGCTGGAGCTCACACCTTACCAGACAGACAGCAGAAAAACCACCCAGTGCTGCAGCTCCCCGCAGCCCTGCCCTCTCACTGGTTTTCCTTTGCTCTCCCTCCTCTCTCCCCTCAGCACCTGCTGATTTTTCCATGCCAATCTCCCCTGCTGGCACTGGCTCCGAGTTTCCAGATGCACTCCCTGCCCTGCCAAGGTGTCACAGTGCACAGCCACTGCTCAGGGAAGGTTTTACATTGCAGCCACGGGCTATTTCTGCATCTGCAAGGTGAAGAACTGAGAAATACCACAAAAACCTTCTCTCCAAAGCCTCAAACCACTTGTAAACAGGGTGTTAATGACAAGGAACTCAGCACAAGACCAGACATTACCCACAGAGATGAAATTTCAGACAGAAGATGGGGATACAGTAACAGGATCAAGGCTGCACAGGAAAGGAAAGACCAACAATGGAGAACTGAATCTTTCAGTGGGAGAATTGGAAAGACCATTCCAGTGGCACCCAGGGAAGAAATGAAAGGATGATCTTGGATATTACGCAGGATGCACATCACTTGACAGCATTTTTAATCCTTGTCTGGGCCATTCAGGGATTCATGCTCTGTCTGTGGCAGGAATTGACTCATATCTTGTGAAATACCTTTTGCACAGCCCGACAAGTTCTTCTTGGGCAGGTTGAGTTTGAGAGCCTGGGTCACTTTTATCACCTTTCTCCTGCTCCAAGACTCCCCTGTGAGCCTCTGGCTGGAGCTCATCCATGTGAAGAGACACCTCTTAGGCTGCCAGGTTGGTATGGGGACAAAAGGGATTTTCCAGAGCTTTCTGATGGCATTGGAGACATCCTGGGCTGGAAGTCACAGATGGCAGCACCCCCACTCCTCACCTGGGATTGTGGCTGCAGCCCCTGATGTCCATGCTCAGGTCCTTTTCTGTCCAGCTGTGGTGGAGGAGCTGCAGGGCCCATTTCCCAGTGGTTTTTTTGGTGGGTGTTTTGTAAAACTGTGGATGCTTTGTAAAACCATGGCTGCTCACGGGGCTCATGCTCTCCGTCCATCCCCTGAAGAGGCTGAGCTTGGTGGCACAGCCCCAGGCTGCTCCCCAAAGCAAGGGAAGAGTTTCCAGTGGCTTCATGGAGGAGATTATGGAGCCAGGCCTGCCCCAGGGAACAAATTTAACGTGATTGTTCAGCAAGAACAAAAAGGACCGTGGTGTCCAGTGCAGAGGAAGCTCAGCCCACAGCCTCTTGTTATGTTCACCCTGGGCTTGGCCACGTGCTGCAACTGGCCATAAAAATATCCATTTCCTTTCTAATTTGAGCCACAACACTTGACACTTTGGCCTTGGGCGATAATGCAATGTACAAGTGCTCAGCAGACACACTGCAGCCCTTCTTCCTGCTTTGCTCCAGCACAAATAATCCACAGTATTCACTTCAATAAAATATTAACAGCCAAGGAGTCAAATAGCTTTCATCTGTATTTATTTCCTGACTATCATCTAATTAACAGGAATCTGCTGGTTCTGCATGGAGTTCCTGGTATCTGGGAGAGACCAAGCTGGAGTTCAAACTAGGGGAAAGACTTTTCCTTCAACTCCAATGAAGTTATTGAATAAATGGCTTTTTAAAAATTTATTTATTTATTTATTTATTTATTTTATCCTGTGGTTTAAAATGGGCTTTGTGTAATTATAGCACATGTGACTTGTCCCTTGGGAACCACGAAGGAACTGGACCAAGCCTGATTAATCTTAAATTGTTTCTAGGACTTACTAGCCTTGAGTTCACAGGGTTCAGGTTGGGAGGATGGAGATCTTTTCCACAGCCCAAGGTTTCCCATCCTGCTCCAGTGCAGTCCTAGAGTGGTGCAGGTCTCCCATAGACCTCCATCCATCATCCCTATGGAAAAATTCCAGACACCTTAGGGTTTCTGCACTAGACCTAGCATTTCTGAGACTGGGTCATCTCAGCCAGTTCCCTTCTTTCTCAGTCTGGGAGATCATTTATTGTTATCAAATCCTCCTTTCCCCCTCAGGGGGACAACTCCTTTTTCTCCCAGGCCCTTGTGCAGCAGTGGCATGAACAGGTAATTCTGTGGTGTGGCTTGGGCTTGGTTGGGTGCTTTTTCTGATACACATGACACAGAATCATGGAATAGTTTAGTCTCTATCCAGGTGTGTCACGAAGGAGTTTTCTGTCCTTCGTGCCAGAGGTGATGCCTGCCGGGTGGGCACAGCCCTCCGAGGAGCTGCGCCACCTCTCAGCCACCTCTTCAGTCTTTGCGACAACCACAGAGCCGGCAGCATCCTCCTCCTCCTCCCTCATGTCTGTCCTCATTCCCCATCTCCACGCGCGGAAGGGAGAGAGGGAAACGCCGGCACCGAGCCACCGCCCGCTGGTGGCTGTCCTGCAGCGCTGTCCCCAGGAGCTGGCGGGGCCGCGGCTCACTGCTGCGGCTCGGGCTCGTACTGCTTCTCCGTGGAGGTGTAGAAATCCTCGAGCACGGACTGCAGGTACTCGAAGGTGGGGCGCTCCTCGGGGTTGCTGCGCCAGCACTTGAGGATGATGCTGTAGAGCTCCCCGGGACACGTCTCCGGGCAGGGCATGCGGTAGCCCCGCTCCAGGTTGCGAATCACCTCGGGGTTGGTCATTCCTGGGGGGAAACACAGCCCAGCAGGAGTTATTCAGCACCCAGGATGGGGAAGGTCAGTGCTCCCCGAAGCTCACATCCAGGCAGGGCTGGAGGGGCTGCGGTGGTTCCTGAATTTGGGATTCGTCCTTTCCTCAGGGTTGTGCTTCCTCTCCATCCCTCTCTCCCCTCCCCGATTCCCCTCTCTAAGTTTGGCTTTGCACAGGTATAACTGAGGGAAGGAAAGCCAGCTTGAAGGAGCTCTTGTGACAAGAGGGACATTGAGGGGCTAGAGAGTGTCCAGGGAAGGGAATGGAGCTGGGGAAGGGGCTGGAGCACCAGGAGAGGCTGAGGGAGCTGGGAAAGGGGCTCAGCCTGGAGAAAAGGAGGCTCAGGGGGGACCTTGTGGCTCTGCACAACTCCCTGACAGGAGGGGACAGCCAGGGGTGGGTCAGGCTCTGCTCCCAGAGGACAAGAGGAAATGGACTCGGGTTGTACCAAGGGATATTTTGATGGGGTATTAAAAACAATTTCTTCATGGAGAAGGTTGTCCAGCCCTGGCACAGCTGCCCAGAGCAGTGGTGGAGTCCCCATCCCTGGAGGGATTTACCAGATGTGTAAATGTGGCACCTGGGGACATGGAGCAGTGGTGGCCTTGGCAGTGCTGAGTTAATTCAATTTAAAGGCCTTTTGCAACTTAAACAATTCTGTGATTCTAAGAGACAGCTGGGTGTGTCTGGGAACACCTCTGGGTGCTTGGAAGTGCCTGGACATCCATCCTGCATTCCCAGAGCCCTGTACCTGGATAAGGAATCATGTACCTGATAAAGGATCCTGTACCCTGATAGGGAATCCTGTACCTGGATAAGGGATCCAGTACTTGGATAAGGGATCCTGTACCCTGATAAGGAATCCTATAGCTGGATAAAGGATCCTATATCTGGATAAGGTATCCTGTAATTAGATAAGGGATCCTGTACCTGGATAAATAATTCTGTACCTAGATAAGGGATCCTGATCCTAGAAAAGGGATCCTGTACCTGGATAAGGGATCCTGTACTTGGATAAAAAATCCTGGACCCAGAAAAGGGATCCTGTACCTGGATAAAAAATCCTGGACCCAGATAAGGGATCCTGTAGCCTGATAAGGGATCCTGTACCTGGATAAATAATTCTGTACCTAGATAAGGGGTTCTGATCCTAGAAAAGGGATCCTGTACCTGGATAAGGGATCCTGTATTTGGATAAAAAATCCTGGACCCAGAAAAGGGATCCTGTACCTGGATAAAAAATCCTGGACCCAGATAAGGGATCCTGTACCTGGATAAGGGATCCTGTACCCTGATAAGGGATCCTGTACCTGGATAAGGGATCCTGTACCTTGATAAGGGATTCTGTACCTGGATAAATAGTTCTGTACCTAGATAAGGGATCCTGATCCTAGAAAAGGGATCCTGTACCTGGATAAGGGATCCTGTATTTGGATAAATAATCCTGTACCCAGAAAAGGGATCCTGTACCTGGATAAGAAATCCTGGACCCAGATAAGGGATCCTGTACCTGGATAAAAAATCCTGGATCCAGATAAGGGATCCTGTACCTGGATAAGGGATCCTGCCGAAGGTGATGATCTCTGTCAGGAGGATCCCGAATGACCACACGTCAGATTTGATGGTGAAAACCCCATAGTTAATGGCCTCCGGAGCTGTCCATTTGATGGGAAATTTGGCACCTGTCCCAAAGGAAACAAAGGGAAATAACTCCTGGAGTTAGAGCACCTCCCTCACCTGTCACAGGCACAAGAATTCCCCCAAACTGATCCCTGGTTCCTTTGGGCTCTTGATTATCATTCTGTGGTTCTTCCTAGGAGAGGGGCTCCAGCCCTTTAATTATCTGAAGGTCCTTCTCTGGACCTGCTCCATCCCAGAGCTGGATGGAATCTTCAAAACCAATCTGGCAGATTTATTATGGGACAATAACAGTAGGATTTTATTCTGTATAAAACTTCTTTGGCTTTTGCCAAGAAAAATTGGATCAGATGATCCTCTTTCCAACCTGGTACTCTGTGATTCTGTGAAATTACTTATTAGAAGAGGACTGTTTTAGCAAAAGTGCATAAATATAACAGCAAATATAAATTCCCCAGTCCTTAAAGCTGCATTGTTTAATTAAAACCAAAATAAACTCCATTTTATTTTGCCCACCAAGTTCTTGCTTAACCCACTGTGGACAGCAATGACCATAAGGTTGCAATTTCAGTTTAGCTAAAAAAAAACAAAACCAAAAAAACAACAACCAACAGCAAAACCACCTTGATAAGTGGGAACTGATTACGTTACACTGCAGAGGAAACCACACTTTTATTTATACACATTCTCACAGGACTGGAAATCCAACTGCAGGGTGTGAAATAAGTGCCTCAGTTGTTGCACATCACACTCTGAGTGACAAGGCTGGGAAATGCAATATATGAAGTGAGAATTGTTCAAAGCAGATAGAGGGGAGGTGTTATTCCAGAGCAAAGCTAGCTGGAAAAATGCTGATGGGATCTGCTTTCTGCTGGGAAAGCAGCTCCTTTGGTTATTAACAGAATTATACTGATTTAATCAAAGCTTCTCTTAAGGATAAAACTGCCCTAAAAATTTGCAGCAAAGTCAAAATTCCCCTTCATGGCAGTTTCTGAATCGCATTTGGGATCTTTTACTACTCTGAAATAGTTTTGCATGTTGAAATGGGTATAATTTGTATCAAAAAGGATTTTGGGGACAGGAAATTGAAAGAAATGTTTCTTATCTCATTAAAAAAGCCCACAAAAATGATTAAATTTCCTTTCCTCAGAGTCCATTTTAAGGGGAATTTTATCTCATCCCAACTCTAGAAGTGGACAGATTTCCAAAATTTGAAAATTTTCTGGTAAGTGCCACTTATTCCTGACTGAATTGTTTTATTTCAGTCTCTGTAGATGCTCTGTAGAGTCCCTTTGCAATCTGAATTATTTGATCTCATGCTTGACCTCAGAGTCAGAGCTCAGTACAGGGATGATCTCAGAAGTCTTTTCCAAACGAAATGATTCCGTGATTTATTGTTTTCCATGTGGTCCCTCTGCTGTGGAAGGGACTTGATGTGGTCAGGGCTTGGTTTGCCTGGCACACCTGGAAGCTGCTGCTGGATCCAGATTTGTGGTTCCAGCTCTGTTATTTCCTTCCCTCTGGACTCAATCCCTGTGAAAACTTGGCCACAAGCAGCACTCTCTTCATTAGTAGAGGTCGAATTTCTCCAGCAAACAACTGGGGAGTCATCAGGACTCCCCCAGACAGAACCAAAAGAGTTTTTTCCCATTTCCCTCTGCAGTTTCCAGTTGGTTTTGTAGTCCCCAGGCTATGGATGTTTGGCTGTTTCTGTTTCTCTTGCCTGGGTGCTGACAGCAGCAGCCACGCGGGCTCTGCTGCCCTGTGCCTGATGCCAGCCTGGTATCCTGGCATTCCTGGGGGAAGGATGGTGGGAGATTAGGGCAGTGCTGGGAAGGACACCCACCTTCCTGTGCCAGGTACTCGTTCTCGATGAGCCTGGCCAGGCCAAAGTCAGCGATTTTGCAGCAGAGCGTCTCCGAGACGAGGATGTTGGCGGCCCTCAGGTCCCGGTGGATGAAGTTCATGCGCTCGATGTAGGCCATGCCCTCTGCCACCTGGGAGGGGAGGAAGAACCCACCTTCATCATCACCTCCCCGTGGTATCATGGCTGGTTTTCACCCACCTCTGCAAAGCACAGCGTTTTTACAGGGTTGCTGTTGTCTCTCCGTGATCATGGATGTGCCTATGTGGCTCACGGATGGATGGATGGATGGATGGATGGATGGACAGGTGGATCAGCAGACAGGTAAATAAATAGATATCACACTTATACAGCTGCAGATATTCAGCTTTACAATCCTGAGCAGCCAAGTGAAGCAGAACAGAGAGAAGCACTCTCTGTTTTGCTCAGAAGCCACAGCCCTGAGCTGTGTCTGCAGCGAGAGATGAAACCACATCACTGGATTTCCAGTTTCTGCCACAAGTCTCTTCTCTCCAGTGGGGATTTTATTAATGAATATTCCAAATTAAATATGTGAATTTAAAAAAGGAAAAAAAACCTCAAAAATATCAAACTAGCAAATCTTAGAATTATAGAATGGTTAGAAGGGACCTTAGGACCCTAAAGATCCTCTCATTCCAACCTTCTGCCATGGGCAGGGACACCTTCCACTATCCCAGGTTGCTCCAAACCCCACCCAACCTGGCCTTGGACACTTCCAAGGATCCAGGGGCAGCCACAGCTTCTCTGGACACCCTGTGCAACCTGTGTCTCCCCACCCTCACAGGGAAGAATTTATTCCTAAAATCTAATTGAGGCACCTGGTGTGTGATGAGCCTCTGTCAATCACAGCAGCAATATTTCATTGATGGCTGCTGGGGTTTGAAAAGGGAGATTGCTAGAAAACAGAGATTGCCAGGCTGAATCTCAGATTTGGACTGGGCATTTATTGGGAAGGTGAGTGGATGTGTGCAGCCCCTGCCAGCAAGGGGTAGCCCCCATTAAAGATTTTAAGTGCCTGTGGATGAGAGCAGAGCAATTTTCCACTCCATGCAGATTCACATGAGCCTCTGCACTCACATGTGGTTTCAAACAGGATACTCACACATACTTTCCAATGCTGCATTTCTAACCTGTGTCAACAGCCCTCTAGTGCAAGGGCTGGTTTCTGCAGTGGAAAATGGAAGAATTGATGTAATTTCCTGTCCTGATGTTAATGAGATAGGACCTGATGCTTGGCCCGTTCCAGCCCAGAGTGTTTTCAAGCATTTACCCTCACGACTGACCACAGGATTGAATGTATCAGCCCAGACTGTTCTAATTTTAACTCACACGGATGTCATTGGATCAGAAATTGCACTCGAGAGGGTTGGGTGCCTGCTGAGCTGTGATGTCACCCCAACACCACAGATAAGCAGATTGCAAAATAGCTCAGTAGCCTGCCCTTTCCTCCTGCTGCTCCTCCCAGAGATACCCAGGGAACGTCTGAGTCCCTGCCCTGGAGAGGTGATGCTGGGGTGGGAGAGGGAAGGATGAAAGCTGTTCTTCCAGTTGACGCCAATGCCTCAGGGGTGGGTAAAATCCTTCCTACCCCATGCTGAGGGTGGGTTTTGCATGATTGGGGTGTGGGGGTTTGGTCTGTGTTCAGTTATCCTGGTTCTGATGTGCGGGTGCAGTTTTCCCAGAGAAGCTGTGGCTGCCCCACCACCCCTGGCAGTGTCCAAGGCCAGGCTGGATGGGGCTTGGAGCAACCTGGGATAGAGAAAGGTGTCCCTGCCCATGGCAGGAGTTTGGAATGAGACGATTTCTCAAGTCCTTCCAGCCCAACCCATTCCATGATTCCATAACTCTGTAACATTGACCAAAATCTTTGCTCTGAGTCATGCAGAGATTGTTCTGGTCCTGCACAGAAATGCAGCTTGCCAATTTCTGGGGAATGCTCCCACTAACCCCAGGGGCTCTGTAATATGGATTAATCGGTATAAGGAATTAATTAATTAATTAATTAAAGGAATTAATTAATTCCTTATCCTCAGGAATTTAACACAAACCACAGGCTGTAATTTTCAAGAGAGGGAATGAAACAATGAAAGATGGAGGGAAGGAAGTGGAGATTTCAGGAGAGGAGGGAAGGAGAGAAGTAATTAAGTCAAATACCCTAAAATGGGAGGGTGCATTTGTCTCCATAACATCTCACAGACAACAATGATGAAGCTGCAGATATGGAAAATTTATCAGTAGTGAAGAGGGAAGGAAGAGAAAGAGGTTCCTCTGCACCCCTATGGAAAGTTCAAAGTAAAAATGACAGAAGGTGGCATTGCTCTAAAGCATTTAAATATTTTCATTCTGGTTAAAGCAAGAATTAAAGTATTTCACTATAATAAACCATCCCTTCAAATATTAACATTTTCCAGTTGTTAATTTATTAAAAAGCAACTCTATATCAGGGCTGGAACCAGCAAACTTTGCACATTGTTTCCTCAAATCAAGTTTGACAAGAGAAGCTGAGTGATTTTATGGATAAATCCCATGTTCAGCCTGATGCTTCAGGGTTTGTTTGTTTTGTTTGTTTTGTTTGTTTTTTTGATTTTTTTTTGCCAATATTTCCTAATTAACCTGACTCTGCTCTGGATGAGCCAAATTCTGTCAACAGCTGTCTGGGACCAAAGTGCAATGATTTAGCCATTCTCATTCTTCATGTGGTTTCCCTAATTTTGCCCTATTTGTGTTTAAAGGCACTTCTGGATTAAAATTTTAAGCTGCAGCCACAGCTATGAGGATTTGAAGCCTGGGGATCTTTAAAAGATAAAAGTTTGTTTTCCTAAAGAGCAATATTCCAAGATTTGAGGATCAGAATATCCTTTATGCCTCATCCTCAGAAGGGCAGAACTGCTGGTCCTGCATTGGAAGTCTCTTCGTTGAAATTTTTCTCCTTTTTTTGGTAAAAAGAAAAAAAAAAACAAATTTTTTTTTTCCTGCTCAGCAAGGAAGAAAAGCAAGGTAAATAAAATCAGACAAAAACAAATCCAACCACCCCCAAAAACCCCTAAACTCCAGATCTCTAGCCCTGCACTAAGCTATCAGAGGGTTGCCCTAAGGACAGAAGTGATATGCACATGGACACGAGAAGGATGAGGAGAATCCCTAAGAGAACACACCAGGAGGAGCTGTTTTTCTCCAGAAAATCTGTGCTCTGACTGACTTCAGACTTGCAGGAATTTCACTGAGTTATAACAAATCTTGGATCCTTTTCCCACCCACTGTTCACTGACCTGAGCAGAGATATCAATGAGTTTGGGGAGATTCAGCTGGCTTCCTTCTTCTGTCTTCAGGAAATCCAGCAAACACCCTGCAGGAGAGGAGAGACTGCTGTCACTCTTCTGAATAATTTATAAATTTATTTTCCCTGGTGCTTCTCTGAATATATGCAACAAATCTGCCTCCATCCTAAGGGGAATCTGAGGAGCCAGAACGGATGTCCACTGGAGTATCTTTCATTAGGAAAGCTCCCAAACAGCCCAAAATTCCCCTCTGTTTTGCATAGATCTGTTGCAAACTGCTGGCATTCATCATTTGAACTGTTGCAAACAAGAGGGGCAAAAGAAAGGGCAATTTCACCAAGAAGGGATTAAAAACCTGAAACAAACTTCCAGTGAGAACAGTGGGGAGGAAAACTTTAAATACTCTTCAAATGGAGCATCACCACGGTTTTATCATCACCCAGAAAGTCTCTTTCTGTATTAGAACCAAACTTTTGGGTCACTTGCTTGCAGATTTGGTACAACCCCTCCTGCCCACCCTCATTCTGCACGGGAGCACTGGCCAGATCACCAAAGTGGCTCTGCAGAAGCCCAGCACAGAGCTCCAGGAGGGTTTTTACCATTGGCCATGTACTCTGTCACAATGTAGATGGGCTGCTTGGTGACCACGGCGTACAGCCGGACCAGTTTGTTGTGCTGCAGCTTCTTCATCAGGTTTGCCTCTGCCAGGAAGGCGTCAGGATCCATGCTGCCCTCCTTCATGGTCTTCACAGCCACCTTGATGTTGTTTTTGTAGTAGCCTGCAGGGAGATCATGGTGTTTTGAGGAATTTTGGGCCCTCTGCAGGCTCTGTGGGGTTGTGTAATAAGGAGAGCTCATGGAGCAGAAAACCACAGGAACAGCTTGGATCCCTCAGAAAGGAACACAGGGTAAATCCCAGTGCCAGCAGGTGTGAGAGGAGAAGGGACATTTATGGCACAGTTATCAACCCATGAGGCTGCATCAGGGATGGTCCCTGCACTGAGCCCATCCTCACACAGCTCTCCCAGACCCTTTCTGGGTGAATCCCCTGGGGCCTCCCACCAGCTGGGCTCTCAAATCATCCAAAGGCAGCCAAAAAGGCAGGACTGAGCAGTCAGCACATGAACTCAGCTGGTCCTGTCCACAATCTCCATTTCCAAGGCAACCAGCAACCACAAAGAGGGCGGCAAAGGAAGCTGAGCTGCCCCCACTTCCTCTCCTGCTGATTAGCAGTAGGCAGGAAGGCATCAGGGATGGAGATCTGAGCTAAAAAAGTGGAACAGGGATGCAGAAAAAGTGGGAAAATATCACCCAGGTACCCTGCTGGGTGTGGCTTAGGATCACTGTCATCACTACAGTTGTGCCCAGGATTCCCAGGAAGAATGAGTGCATATCCCAAGAGATGAGTAAATAGTGACTTCAACACCCATCCCCTGTGAAACCCTTGCTCAACCACTGCTCTCTGCAAACACCAGCTGTCCACTCCTTCCCAGGGGTCCTGCAGCTACTTCTAAATATATGTTTGTCCTTACGGATCTCCACTCCCAGAAGTTTTTCCTTAGGGAAATAAGTTTTGCCTTAGGGAAATAAAAGGGGTTATCCATCTCCTCTCTTTATGTCTTTTTTATCCTGGAATGGAAGGAATTCCACTTACCCATCCACACTTCCCCAAACTGCCCACTGCCCAGCTTCTTCACAAGCTTCAGGGCCTCCCGAGGGATCTCCCACTCGTCCTGGGCCCAGGGTCTCTGGGGAACCAGGGATGTGCAGGGAGCTGTGAGGCGCTGGCACAGCCCATCCCCTTTCTCTGGAGGGGGACAAAGCACAGGACAGTTCAGGGGGATGGCAGAGAAAACCTCCTCCTCCATCCACACATGGAAAAATCAAGCCATGGAAACCTCAACAACCACACAGGGAAGTGGTGGAGCCCCCAGCCCTGGAGGGATTTAAGGACTGGTGGATGTGGCACTTTGGGACATGGGTTAGTGGTGGCCTTGGCAGTTCAGGGGGAACAGTTGGATTCAGTGGTCTTAGAGGGTTTTTCCAATGTTTATAATTCTACGGTTTCATGAAAAGTTTCAGCCACAGGGATCAAGGCACCCAGAATGGTCCCAATCAAAGGGGAAAGCTCAAAGGGAGCCATAGAGGAGCAAATTATCCTGCCCAGTTATTCCAAACCCTGCTTCCCATGCATCCCTCCTGACAACATTCACCTCTTTTCTTTCTTCATGGGGACACTCCCTGACTTTAGGGCTGGGGGCAGAGCTCACCCTTGCAATTCCCTATGATGGAAAACTAGGACATGGCTTCTGCTTGTAGGATCACACCTGCCCCACGAGAGCAGGTGGAGCAGCTGTGGTGTCTCCCAAACCTGTCCTCCCTCTGTCCCCACTCTCTTCCAGGACACAAATCCATGAGGGAAGGCAGACAACTCACGGCTGTAATGATGGATAAGCTCTGGCAGGCTGGAGAAAGTCACCCTGGGGGAGATGTAGTACCCCCCTCCATCCAGGGAGCGGATCCTGTAGTGTTTGATGATGTCCCCATGGGCAGAGTTGTTGTCTCTCACGGACAGGGAATAGGCATCTGGAGAAGGAGCAGAAGGAACTGTGAGGACAAACTGCACCACAGCCAGGGACCAGCTGCCTCCTCTTTCCATGGCTGCCAACAGCTCCAAACCAGCCCTGGCTGATGCCTTTTCAGAGCAAACCCCCCCAGAATTTACAGCTTCCCTCTCTCCAAGGCAAGGGGACAGGATAAAAGTTCATCAAAGCTTAACTGATCCAGTCCAGGCTTCCTGGAGTAACACCTGCCTGTGCTGTGGCCAACAGCCCCGTGGAAGCACTGTGGGGACCAGCAGCACCACTCCAGGCACAGCAGCCAGATGTTCCCTAGGTCAGGATGGTCTTTCCACAGCTCCATATTCCCATCTGAGCTCTGCCAACCTCAGCATCAAGAAATCAGAATGGTTTGGGTTGCAAAGGACCTTAAATTTCTTCCAGCTCCACCCCCTGCCATGGGCAGGGATGCCTTCCACCATCCCAGGTTGCTCCAAGACCTGTCCAGCCTGGCCTTGGACACTTCCAGGGATCCAGGGGCAGCCACAGCTTCTCTGGGAAATCTGTGCCAGGGTTTCACCCTCACAGCCAAGAATTTCTTCCTAACATCCAATCTAAACCTGCCCTCTTTCAATTTAACGCCATTTAAAACCATTTTCCTCTGGATTAAACATTATTAAACCTTGTGCCAAGGTCAGTGGTTCAGCTGTGGGGGCACAAAAGGTGAGTTCAGGAGAATTGTCTTGTTCAGCCACAAACTTGTGACCATGGCTAAACCAGATCTAGAGATTCCCATCTGGAATCTTGTCCCTTTTGGGCTTCAAGGGAGCTGCTCGGCCATCCACCTCCCCAACCTGCTATTCCCTCCATGAGAATCTAAACCAAGGCTGGTTTTCAGTGCACAAAAGCATCACTAGATGTTGCTGCAGAGCAGAACTTCCAGCCTGTGTCAGCGTGGTTCAATGCAGTTGAGCAGAGGGGTTCTTCTCCCCTTTGTCTGGATTGTATTTCTGGAGTGAGTTGTTACATGCCTGCTGGGCTGTTCTAAGTCTAATATGTCACCTGGGCCGATAAACTGCCCATTTTTCTTTTTTTTTTTTTTTTTTTTTAATGGAAAGGCAAGGCTATACATGTTTAAAAATGTGTATCTGTTCATGCAGGATCATAAAAAGAAGGAGGGCCATCCACAGCAACTCTGAAATCCTAAACCTGCATGTGAGGGGAAAGTTTATTAACATAAAATCCTCACTGGCTGGTGTTTCTCCATCCCAGCACCAGCAGTTTTCCCTACACTGTGCCTGAAACCCATTTGCATTTATAAAAAGCAGCAAAAATCTCCCCACCTCTGAGGATATTTGCTCTGTTGGAGTGATCATAAATCTTTACAAGCAGAGTTTGGAAGAGTCTAAAGTTTTCCCAAGTGCCAGCAATCATTTTGAGAGGACTCCCTTCCTGCAGAAACCAGATCTGGTGGTGTAAAATACATGGAAAAACCTGGTGGTTTAAATGCAGAGCCAGGGAACCTCAGTTTGATGTGGTGGTCTCCTCAGCAGAGGAAACTCTTCTGGTTCTCTTTCCTTCACCATGAATGTCAGGCAGAAGACAAATTAAGAAGCCCTTTTGATTTTATCAGTCCTGCAGCTGAACAACAGAGAAACAGCCCTGAAACACCTCCAATGGGCAAAGAAATGGCTCTGCTGGCTCCTCTGTGGTATCCATGTGGCCCTAATTCCAAAATAATGATAATAAACATCAAGGCCAAAGGCTGGACTTGATAATCTAAAGTGGTGTTTTTCAACCTAAATGATTCTGTGATTCTGTGAAGAAGAATATGACATTGATGACAACACATTTATTATTATTATTATTATTATTATTATTATTATTACTACTACTACTACTACTACTGCTACTATTATTGCTATTATTACTATTATCTATTATTAACTTCCATTATTGCCATTGAGGGTGATGATATTTTAATTTCAAAGAGACTGAAATACTGCCCAGGCCAGGCTGCAGCCCAAGAGAGTTTGGCTTACGTGGCACAAGACCAGGAGGGTGCTTGGCATGCCTGGGACATGGCTTAGGGTTTGTGTGGGATTTTTACAGAGTGAGGACTGCTCAAGGAAGGAGCCAAACGTGGTGTGAAGGCAGCTGCACTGAGGCCAAATGATCCTGCAGAAGGAAATCCAGGAATTGATGACAAAATACATCTGGGGGCTGAGAGTCAGCAGGGAAGAGGAGACCCGCCCTATTTGCCAGGGGTTGCACCCAAAAAACCTTCTCCCACAGGATCTCCTTTCCAGGCCCCACCAACCCTTTAAACTTTCAGACAGAGAAAGGGCCAATATCTCAGCTGCCAGAGTTAATTCTTACCCTGTCATTAAGCTAATGACTGCATCTCAGCCCCAGTCACAGTTTAATTTGCTGCAGGGAGCGTGGTGGAGCTTCCCTGTCCTTCTCCAAGGCCAGATACTGTTCCCTTGGGAGCTGCTGTGCAGAGGCAAGGCACTGAAGGGAAAGATTCAATTCTTCCTTCACAGTATCACAGAATGGTTTGGGTTGGAAGGGTCCTTAAAACTCATCTTGTTCCACATCCTGCCATGGACAGAGACACCTTCCACTAAACCAGGTTGTCCAAGCCCCATCCAACCTGGTCCCTGCTCCCAGTGACAGCAGAAAATGAAAATCATTGACTCCTAAGTCCCTCTGATGATATCCAGGATTGACAAAGGAGTTCTCGCTCCTCAGCCTCAAAGGACATTCACCTGTCTTGCATCCTGGCACAGATCTGGGCTGGTAAAGAGACCAGAGTACAAAATTTCTTCATCAAAAAGTTAACCAGCCCTGGCACAGCTGCCCAGGGCAGTGATGGAGCCCCCATCCCTTGAAGGGTTTAAAAGCCATGCAGATGTGGCACCTGGGGACATGTGTTTAGTCCATTTCCTGCTCCTATAACTCTCAGCAGCTCCTTAAATCCTTCCCAACGGGAAGGGCAGGAGCTGAGCTGGATGCAGAGGCTGAGCTCAGTGAGGTCCCTCCTGCTGGGACCAGAGATGCAGGAATGCTGCTGGGAGCCAGGAGCCCGTGGCTCAGCACAGCTGGGGGAATGTGTTCCTACAGCTTTTGGAATGATTGTTACTTCAGAGGGACTTTGTTTATTTGCAGCAGCTTCGGCAAGGACAGTGCTCTGACGATGATTTCGCTGCTTCCCACACTGTCCCCATCTTCCCAGGTTGCTGAATGTGCCTTTTGGGGATTTTCTGAAGATTTGCAGAGTTTTTGCATCTCAAACCATGAGGAAAACGAGACTCTGCTTAGGATGGGCTGGGAATAGGTACTGCTCCTAGTCAGGGTGCAGAACCCATCCCGCTGTGCCTGCGACACCCCAGTATGAAGCCACCACCTCCCAGTTAAAGTCACAAATGGGATTGATCTCAGCCCAGTGATTGTCCCTGATGGTCAAATTTTGTTGGTGATGTGCCAAGTGAATAAAAACACACGTCATAGGGACAGAAAAACAGGAAAAAACAGTGGAGCTCTAAGGGCAGGGTTAATTCCACGGCACATCTCTTGGTGGGCCACAGGGTGCTTTACATCAGGGAATTCAGCTTCATGGCACATTTGGAGATGCCTGGCTTTGTCTTTTACCTTTCTCCTTAGGGAGGACAGAGCTGTGGCTAAGATGGATCAAATGTGGTCATTCAGGCAGCCCAAAGCACAGGGTGCTCAGGTAGCAGCTGGGCACACAGGATGATCCAGAGGATGAGGTGTTCAAATGAATAACACCCATATTTTATGCTAAATATCAAAAAAGACACAGGGCAGACACACATCTGAGCATTTGGGACTTACATGGGGTTTCCATGGAGTGGAACCCACGTCTGCTAATGCAGATTATCCCACCTCATTCTTCTTGACAGCAGAGACAGGGAATTGAGGATCTGGTGATTTCTCCTTGGATTTCAGGACTTCACAACCTCTGCTCAAGCCCTGTGTGACCAAGACCCACCCACACTCCAGATAATTGCAGAAGTTAGGGACAATTGTCCTGAACAAGTGGAGGGAAAGGTCTGATCCCATGCACTTAGAGATGCCACAAACACCAGGATCGTGTGTGGACAGAGCTTCAGACACAGCACCCCAGTGTTTCCTTTGTGGTGCTCCCGGCCCTTCCTGGGTGCAATGAACACACCAGCTCCCCAAGTATCCCAGCAAACAAAGAGAGAATGGGAATGGGATAAACAGAAGAGCAGCACATGGTTCTAAGTCTAAGCACCACAAAAGCAGCAGGGAAACTGAGATACAGCAGAAAAGGTGACTTATAAAGTGAAATGCTTAGAAACAAATATCTGAAATGTTTCCTGAGCTGAATGTTCCCTAAAAACTCTGGAAGCTGCAAACCCTTATGGATAGCAGCCCTCCTGCTTAGCATCAGCTCAGCAGGGATGTGTGGAGGTGAGTCCAGGGATGGGGCAGAGAGGGAAATTCAAAGTAGGATGTTACAGTCTGACACAGCCCCACTGCCTGGTGGCTGAGACACGTACAGGAGGATGACATTCCAGCTGCTGCCTCCAGCTATTTAATTTTCTGGCAGTGGTGGAATTAACACCTCCATTGTGGAAGGAACAGATGCTGCCTTGGAAACCTCCCTTGTGAATAGGAGGAAAAAAGAGACAAGAAAGGAAGAAGGAGAGGCTACAGGAGGCAAGAGCCATTTGTAGGATGGAGGAACCAGACTGTTCCCTCTCTTACTGTTAGGCCTGGGCCTTTGGAAGTATTTGGGAAACAAAATAAAAGGAAATGAAGGTTCCATATGGTTTCAGATGGATGCTCCAACTCTCTACCGCTCAAGTCACAGTTGGACACCATGATCTTAGAGGTTTTCCAACCTAAACAATTCCTTGATTCTATTGGGAAGACATAAATCACCTCTTCCCAAGTCTTAAGGAAAGACTTCTGCATCTACTTGAAAGGAAAAGAACCAAATGACAGCAAGACTGAAGCACTTTCCTGACCTCATCCATGGATCTGGTTCAGAGCAGAACCACGGGACCATCACGAGCATCATTTCCTCCGTGATGTAAACACACATGATGGCCCAGAGGAAGCAAGGAGAAAAAAATAGGAAAGAAACAATAAGGAATTCCCATGGGAAAACCTAAACTAACTTCCAGACTCTATGAATTAATAGCATGGAACAAAGAAATTGAAATTACATCGTTTTATCTTATGGTTAATAACTATATCCACTGCCCAAGAGGAGTGGGAGCAATTCTCTGTCTTTCCATTCTCACTGGATCATTTTTTCAAAAGTCAGACATGTTCATATGGAAGGAAAATGGATGAAATCCATCTATCCTGCTATAGTCAGTCTCCTTCCAAAAGTTCTGGTTTGTATGAGTTTCCCTATCAGACTATCAAGAAAAACATGTTTTCCCTGGGAAAATGACTTTTTTCAAAACTGTGCAAGTTTCTGTTGCAAACAGGAGAAATATTCCTTCTAGAGTGTGTAGAAATATCTTAAAAAAAAAAAAAATAAAAGAGAGAGAGACATTTATTTGGGAAGAAAAGGAAAAGAAAACTCCTAAACTATTTTGGAAAATCTGCTTATTTGTGTTCCTGTGTCTTTGCCATGAACTCTGGTGGAAGAGACACGCTTACCACAGCCAGAACCGCACAAATGAGTAGATCATGAGCAAATCTTTGCCCTCCAAACCTTCAGCTCACTCCTAGAGCCCTGCTGAAGGTTTTCCAAGCCTGGGCAACAATGAGGAATTACCTTTGCTCCACGGATCTCACCTTTGGTGGTTTCACTCTCCCGGACGAGGAAAGAGCCAACTTTGTTCCCAGAAGACAACAGCAGCCGTTCAGCATCTTTTCTGCTCAGAGTTCTAAAATACCACCTGGGAGACAGAAAAGACAAAAGCATGGCTTGAAAAGGAAAAACTCTTAAAAAAATGGAATTCTTTCCATTTAGTTCTTTTTTTTTTTTCATTAATCATTACACTGTGAAACTGAGGGTTGTTTTATCAGCAAGTAGTTTTTTATCTCCTGGAAAGTGGCAGTAGTAGACTGTTTTGGGTAGATTAACGCCAGATTTGGGTCACTTTGGTCTTGTTTCACAGCCTGGAAATTCAGACAGTGTGGGGAGTAGATGGGATGTGCAGTATCCCATGCAAAGTTCAGGCTTTGGATACAAAGAGCTTTTATGTCTCAGCCATATTTCTGTGCCCTACTAAATATTTGCTCAACTCAGTGATGGTTGGGTCCCTCCAAGAAGAGATTGCAGGCAGGACTGGTCATTTAGAGCTGAATGCCATAGAGGAGGATAACTCATGAAAAAAAAAATCTCCCTCTGTTTATATTACAGGCAAAATAAACTCTTTTGACTGCAGTCTTTCATTTGATCTGCTTTGCAGGGAGGCTGCATCTGGGCTCATGTAAAAGCCAGCACCGTGGGTCTGGGCACTGGCGCTCAGTTTTCTGTCTTGTTCAGTTGTTGGTGTGGTCCCTGGCAGATCCAAGATCTGGATCAGTGCACCCCATCCAGAGATTCCCAGTTTACATATGGATACTTTCTTGGAAGGGGAAGAGGTTTAAAGCCATTTGCGTGGGTGGACTGACCCAGTGGGACCAGAGGATGGTCCCTGGCACTGTCACCGTAACCTTTCTGTTGTTGCCCCCAAATCCTTGTTTTCCACAGTGGGTGCAATCAATGGAAAAGGAACCTTTGCCCACTTTCCCCAAAACAACATCATCCTCCCTTTCCATACCAATAGGATGCTTAAAAACTTGTCCTGAGCTTTTGGGCAGCATTGTTTGGGATGAGGAAAGACCTCCTGCCATCCAGCCTGGCAGTGACATCTTCCTGCCATCAATAAAGCTCCTCATGGAGCTCGTTGAGATCCAGGGCACAGCACCCGTGTTGGCCTCTCAAAAGCTTTCCCACTTACTTTTCCTCTTCCAAACTGTCCACTTGTGCCACGAAGTTGCTGGGGATGTATCCTTTCCTCCCAGTGCTGAGGGACTTTGCCAGCCACCAGTCCCCCTCTCTGCAAAGGGAGCAGAGGAGAAGGTGTGAGTGCCCAGAGGAGGTTTTGTGACAAGCTGAGGCTGTGGGGATGTGGGGTTTGAGCACTGCAGAGGGACTAGGACTCCATAATCCACTCTGCAGTTCCCTCTGGGTTCCCAAGGACCAAAACCAGGCTGGTGGCTGTTGGTGTTTCAGGGACTTGTGGAGGTGACAATCTCTTTCCATGAATGTGGAGCAACCACAGACCCAAACCTCTGCTACACACCTTGAGTAAGAGGAGGGGCGTCAGGGTCACAGGGTTTATTTTGTCTTTTCAACAGGGCATTGGGGTCCTTTCTGCTCCTTCCTTTGTGTTCCAGACACCCCACCTTGCTGTCCCACTGCTGACTGAATCACCAGCCATGACCCAAAGCCATCCCCGTGCAGGGGGTTCTCCATCCCCTTGTCCCACAGGTCCCAGCCCGTGGCATCTGGGTGAGAAATGTCACCTCTGGAGGCCACCTCAGACCTCCAGCAGTCAAGGATGGAGCAGACCTCCAAGGTCTGGGGCCCCCAAGCTCACCTCTGCCCTGTTATGGACTGGGCCTCTCCTGTGGTGATTTTGAGAAGTTGAAATGAAACCTCGCAAGTGTCTGGCTCAGTTCTGTCCTTTCCTCTGACTACACCCAACCCACATCCTTTGCAGAAGCAGAATCAGCACAAACAGAGGACAGGAGCTGTTTTTTCTTGTTGCCTTTTTTTTTTTGTTGTTGTTGTTATTTATGTTACTTCTGCACCCACAGGCACTGACAGCAAAGAGGGTCCCAGTAGCACCCAGGCAAGGACAGTCCCCAGCCCCAGAGTATCTGTGACCCACAGAAATGTCACCCCCAGAGAGAAGAGGGTACCCACAGCCAGGCTCTGGAGCAAAGCCAAGGCACAGGCTGAGCTCTGGTCAGCTGCAAAGTGGTGGCTGACCCCAAGGTCCCCCCTTTCCCAGCCTCCCCCTGCTCATTTTTGAACTTCCTTCTGGGTCACTTACTTGGAGAGGACCTGGAGTTTCTCCCCTTTGACCAGCTCCAGGTCACGGTCACTTGAGGCAGGAAAATCGTACAGTGCAACCACAAACAAGTGATCTGAAAGAAGAATTAACTCCTTTGAATCCAGACTGTTCCTTGGGTGGTTTGATGCACACCTGGGTGTATGGTGGGGCATTTCAGCCCCTAAACATGGGGCTCTCTCATCCTCCCACCCCCAAATCCAACCTTTCCACCAACCCAGCTTTCCTGCTTACCACAACCTCTGCTCAGGGATTAACACTGATTCAACAAAGCATTTCCTGTGTATGTATTTTTAAAACACTGCAGAACCACCTCCCCCATCCACAAAACCCAGAGTGCCAATAAGAAAAAGGGGTTTGTGTTGAATTAGAAGGGTCATAAATAACCTGTCAGAGTTCAGCCTGAGTTTTACACAGTAGTAAATGAAAACTGCTACATTTCCCATGGTGGCAGTGGAATTTGACTCAAAATGATGTGGGGTTTTTTGATTGAAAAAAAAAGCATAAAGTCATTGCAGTTTCTGTTATTTGAGGCTGTTTCTAGGATTTAGCTCTCCTTGGGCTCATGGTCTGTGGCCTGTGCTTTGGGCTCATCCAGTATCTTGTCATCTCTCCCTCTTGAACACTTTTCCTTGCAGTGAATGAATCACAGAATGGTTTGGGTTGGAAGGGACCTTAAAGATCATCCATGGGCAGGGATACCTCCCATTATCCCAGGTTGCTCCAGGCCATTCGTCCTGGCCTTGGACAGTTCCAGGGATCCAGGGGCAGCCACAGCTGCTCTGGGTATCCTGTACCAGGGCCTTCCCAGCCTCACAGAGAAGAATTCCTTCTTCACATCTAACCCAAACCTGAGCTGTGCCAGTCTAAAACTGCTGCCCCTTGTCCTGTCACTTTCTCCCCATACAAAAAGTCCTTCTCTCTCCTTTTTATGTGCCTGTCCACTTGCCACAACGCTCTGGCACAGCCCAGGGCTGATCCCTGAGGGCTGGAGCTGAACCTCTTGGTTTGCAAACCCCGGAGGTGCCGGGGCTGCTCTCGGGGAAGCGGTGCAACCTTTCCCCTGAGCTCTGCACGCTCGGGGTTGCTGAAGCGGAAAAGAGCAGCTATTTTGGGGCAAATCAAAATGTATAAAAAGAATCAGCACATGCGCAGGATCACAAAAAATCAAACCAGAACACCGTGGTGAAAAAGAAAAAGAAAGAAGAAGGAGGGGGAGAAGGAGAAGGAATAGGAGAAGAAGGAGAAGGAGAAGAAGGGGAAGGAGAAGGAGAAGGAGAAGGAGAAGGAGAAGGAGAAGGAGAAGGAGAAAAACAAAATAAAAATAAAAATTTAAAGAAAAAGAAAAATTTAAAGAAAAAAGAAAATTTAAAGAAAAATTAAAAGAAAATAAAAATAAAAATAAAAATAAAAATAAAAATATAAAAATAAAAAGAGGAAAAAGAAAAAGAAAAAAGAAAAAGAAAAAGAAAAAAAGAAAAAGAAAAAGAAAAAGAAGAAAAGAATGGGAGCTGTGCTGCAGGAAGGCTTCAGCTTGTGCTCAGCCTAATTAATGCACTGAGACCGATGGACAGCCTATTATTAGCATTTTTCAAAACAGCCTGTCAAGCCACTGTCTTTGCGTGACCTTTTCAAATAATGCCACCAGCAAGAGAGCCAGACTGGCCCTTTGTCACAGCAAGATAACCGTGTCTCTGGGGTGACTTGGGGTTTGTGTCTGTGCAAGGCTGGCTGCTGCTCCGATGGCAATTTGTTAGGGAGGAGAAAGGGTCAGCGTGGGAGGAAAGGCAGCTTTGGAAAGCAGAGCCCTGAGCAGCTCCCTTCAGGCTTTTGAGAAGGAAATCGGAGATCCATGAGAGGTTCCAGCAGAGCCTCTCTCCCAGGATGGGAAAAGGATGATCAGTCACAAGGGGGAATGCTTTGAAGTCTGAAAATAGCTGGCACGGTTGGGGGCTTCCCCTTGAGGCAGCTCGAATTAGCAATGCACCCAAACTCTGTCTGCCTCCTCGAGAAAGTTGTTATCACACATCTACTCAGACATGAAAGGGTTTGGGGCATGTGCCTACTGCGAGGTGTCCACAACCAGCCTGCCATCCACACACACGCACCCTCCTGGTCCTCTTGAAAGGGAAATAATGCAGTGATCACACTCATGCTCGGAAAAATAGGGGCAAGTGTGTGAATATCTTCAAGCCCAGAGTGGCTGTGTACTCCAGAAAATGAAAATGGAATTTTGATCTTGAAGCGACTGACAGAAGTGAAAATAAATGAAATTAAAAAGCGAGAATACAGCAAGGGTTTGTATGCTGAAAAAATACTTTATCACCTCTTATCCCACAACAGGCGCTGAGAACGCTGCATACTGAAATGAGCCAGGAGAAAAGCCCTCTCTGCCCAAGCTAGCAGGAGTTGCCATCTCATGATGAAAGGGGCTCTTCCTGTCCCTGAGTCCATCACCCCTTGAGAAACACATGGATTACACTGCCTTGGATCAGTTTGATCCACTCAGGCCACGAGAGGCTTGTCGGGGCTGTGAGGCTCTCTCAGATATAGCTGCCAGCCCCGGGACTTTGATTGGGAGCCAAACACATCCTGGCTCAGAGCTGCTGTCAGCAAAGTCTGACACCAGCAGGGTCTGCAGAGGCTGAGAGCCAGTTTGGTGGCTCAGTAAGAATGATTCAACCAGTCCTCCCACTGCTGGCTTGTCCTGAATGGAAGGTCTTTGCAACCACCTCATGGCCACAAAGAAGGGCTGAGGCTGTGCCAGGGTGTCCCAGAGGATCATCCATTGGTTTATGGCCATTTTAGGATGCTCATGGTGTAAGTGACAACTTGCAGGACATGTTGGCCAGCTGGGTGCACTGAGCTATGGCTTACTGCTGCTGGAAATGGGGTCAGATTTCTGTTTCAGCCTGGGTTGGTTGGAATCACTGAATCCTAAACTTGGAAAAGATCTCTAAAGTCATCAAGTCCAACCATTTAACCCAGCACTGCCAAGGCAACTCCTAATCCATGTCCCCAAGTGCCACATTCCCGTGGTTTTTAAATCCCTCCAGGGGTGGTGATTCCATTGCCTGGGCAACCTGATCTGAAGATTGGTTACATACACTTTTTGTGAATTTTTTTTTCCTAATATCCAATTTAACCCTCCCCTGGTGCACCTTCAAGCCATCTCCTCTCATCCTTTCACTTTTTACCAGGGAGAAGAGCCCAACCCCTGGCTACAATTTGTTTCCAGGGAGTTGTGCAGAGCCAGAAGGTTTCCCCTGAGCCTCCTTCTCTCCAGGCTGAGCCCCTGCAGCTCCCTCAGCCTGTTCTCCTCAGATATGCTTCACATCAAAGCAAACATTTTTGATTAGAAGTTTTTTAATTTCTCACTCAAAACTTGGCCTTTTCAGTAGAAACAACCCTTCCTTCTCCCACTTCAGCTCAAATTCATGTTTCTGACAGCATTCCTTTCAAACTCAAAACCACATTCAAGTAACAACAATAAAAACAACCAAGAATTTCAGCATTGACTTTGACACACCACAGAAGACCTCAAGTTCCAGAGCATGCTAACCTTCCAGACCGTGCTAACCTTCCAGACCCTGGAGCTCAGTCCTGTTCCTATTTTGGTCAGCAAGAAGCAAGTGAAGAGGTGGAAAAGTCATGGTTCCTCACCAGAAGAAATGACCTTGCAGAGACTTCAACTCCTCGTGCTGTTACAGGTTATTAAAATGCCTGAGCACAAGCAGCCAAACCCACCAGCTCTTTCCATCAGTGGGATTTAAATCCAGCTGTGAGCAGCTGGCAGGGCAAGGGCAGGGGTTATTCTACCTATTTTCTGTGTCTTATCCATCCAATGCAAGCAAACAGCAGCTCTCCCCTGGGACTCTTGGGTTTGGGGCCCACCATGGGCCAGGACTTTGCAGTGCTGAGGGCTTTGGGAGTTCAGAATTAAAATTTTGACTCCACAGAGACTTAAAATCAGCCTTAAAAACATTGTGATTGCCCAGGGAATGGTGTTAAAATGAATGGGAGACTCCCACCATGGGAGAATCACCTGAAGTGAAAAAAGGATTGGTGATGTCATGTGCACCACATTGAATGCAAAGTTCTGCACCCCTTGCCTGCCTTTGTGTAACTTCCACGAAGACAAATGTCAGGAGGAGTTAGGCTTTTGTAAAAAAGAAACAAATTAATGATTTCTGAGACAGAGGTGTGAAAGCTGGAAAGCGTGAGACAATTTCAACAACTACAGATTGGAAAAAAAAAATCAAAGAAAAGCAATTCAAAACACAGAGACCAAAAACAAACAAACAAACAAACAAAAAAACCCACAAAAATTTAAAAATTAAAAAAAAAAAAAAAACAAAACAGGAAAAGAAAAGGTTGATTTTATGTTATATACCACAATTCCATAGCCAATAATTTTTCCTGTCTGAATTTAAAGTGCTCCCACAGGATTTAATTCATCTCTCTGAATTTATTTTTTTTTTTACATGATGTGATTGCCTGGGTTTTGTGCTTTCTCTTTCGATTTACTTGAATTGCTGTCACTTAGGAGAAGATCTCTGGTATCTCAAATATCTTGCTTGGTTCTTATCAGCCTGTTTTGCCACACAGGGCACAGTCAGATGTACCATCATTTCAGGAAACTCAGACACTGGCAGAGAAAAATAGGAAGTTTTCCAGACTGGTCGTGTAAATATTCCTCCAGAACTGGAACTGAATCTAATGAACAAAATTAGTTTTGAGAGCTGAAAATGGCTAATATTGTACTTAATCCATTTTTTAACAACTTTCAACTTCTGCCTTTGGGCATGAAGGAGAAGTAAAATCCGCCTCCTTGATCACAATTTCTGCTGTGACTCTGACCAGAGTGGAAAAAACCCTGTGATAAAAATCCTGTGATAAAAACCCTGTGATAAAAACTCTGTGATAAAAATTCTGCGACAAACTGTCAGTCCCTGCTCAGCTGGGGAGGTGGGAGAGCACGGCCACTTGGAAATGTGCCATGAAAAAAAGTATGCAAAAGAAAACATAGTTTCTGGAAAAATGGCCTTTCCATGAAAACACACCCTAGATCACATGGTTGAAGATATTCACCTCCCACAAATATGATCTCCATAACAAAAGCCAAATTTGAAGAATATTTTGATGTGGCAAGAGTTCCTGTGCTTGGCCCGTGGTAGGGACCCTCCATCACCATCCATAAGACCTAAGAAGACCTAACACTGCCATTCCACCCATCCCATTTATTCACCATCCCCCCTTTCTCTTTCCTCACACCATCTCCCCTAATCCTACCCTTTCATCCATGTGTAGAACGTTCATGTTTTGCTAACTGCCCTCTTCCAAGCTTCCTCTATTTTCCCCCATCTTCTAATTATCTCTCTTTCTGTCCTTAATCTGCAGAACTTCAACAAAAATACACATGAGCTGCTAATGGAGGCTGGGCAGAGGGAGCTGAGGGCTCCCTGCTAAAAGGCAATAATCTCCAAACACCATCTGTGACCCACAGATAATTGCAGAGGTGGATGAAGCCAACAGCCCGTCTCCAGGCAGGGGCTCTGTGTATCCTTATTTTATGTTCTTCCCTTTCTTCTCCTTCTCTTTGTAGCCTCTCTGTGCTCTCTGATGCCTGCTATTTCCTCTGAAATTTTCAGCTGGCTGGATAAAGCATCCATGACTTGTCACACTGCAGACAGGGCAGAGAAATCTCACACAGCTCCAGGCTCAGATCTCCCTTTGCTCCACCAGTCATGGAATCACAGGATTGGAAGCGACCCTAAAGATCTGCTTCCAAAGGAGAGGGAGTGCTTTTTCCTCTGGGTTTCTTTGATGAGCAGGGGAAAATTGGCAGCTGCAAGGACTTGGTGATGTAAACTGAGTTTTCTGAACCACTCTGATAAACTCCCTGCCTGGCACGGCTGCAAATACAGAAACCACACGCCTGTGATGTGATGGCTCATCCTCAGAGCCTGACATTTGGGGACCACCACCCTGCAAAACCCCACGGGGAGGCAAAGAAAACAGAACCTTACCTTGTGCAGAGGCTTGGTTTAGATGAGGGCTGTTGATAACTTGTCTCCCCTGTGATAGAAATAGAAAGGAAAAAGGAGATATTTATCACTTTTCTGTGTTTCAGGAAGAACTGATTTCAGCTTCACAGACGAGTGGGAGTCTGGTCCAGAGACCACTGCAGTCAGCCAGCAGCCCCTGTGCCTGGCTCCACAGCTGTGATGGCTTTAGCACATTTTGCCATGAGGTGTTCATAGCTGTCTTCACAGAAAGCTGGAATAAGCCTTGGCTTCCCTCTGAGTTAAAGCAGAAATCTGCTGCCCCCTCATTTGGAGCCTGCTCTATCCAACCTCTGTCCACTGATGCCAGATTTCGGATCAGTGAGGGGTGAGAGATGAATGGTCCAATTGAGAAATGGCAATTGCAGAGTTGTTTGAAGCAGAAAACCAGAGATATTGTCTGCCATAATTGTCCCAAGGATCATGAGTATATGATATCCTTTGCTCAAGATTACATTAAAAACACAGAGGCAGTGACTGTAGCAGCTAATTAATCAGAGAACTGTAGAAATCACAGAATATTCGATGGTCCTTGTGGATATCCACTCAGAATATTCTATGATTCAATGATTCTATGATTCCTGAGATGGAAGGGGCCCACAAGGATCATTGATCCAGCTCTGGGCCCTGCACAGAGACCCCAAAAATCCCACCCCGTGCCTCAGAGCATTGTCCAAATGCTCCTGGAGCTCTGGCAGCCTTGGGAGTTTCCCTGGGGAGCCTGCTCAGTGCCCAACACCCTCTGGGGGAAGAAGCTTTTCCCAATATCCAGACTAAATCTCCTCTGACACAGCTCCAGCTGTTCCCTTGGGTCCTGTCGCTGGTCACAGAGAGCAGAGATTGCAGCTGCCCCTCCACTGTCCCTCAGGAGGAAATTGCAGACTGTGAAATTAAATAGCAACGAGTTACTGCAACTCATCTGGGCACAATTTTAAAATGTTTACTTTGTTCCTGGTTTGGTTTGGCCCTGCTGCTGGAACTGGCAAATTGTCCACAGATCATTGCAAATAGGCTGGGATGGAACCACCTTGTTTTGGGGGATAACAGTTTGAAACTGGCCTTCACCCACCTTACAGTGCCTATGGTGGGTGTTTGACCACACTGGGTATTTTTATACACGTGCAAAAGCGGTAAAATACAGACACAGAACTAAAAACACCTTGTGTTTTCTGCCTGCACCACCCTTTCACCCCAGCTTAGCAGCAGTGTGGGGTGGGAGAGCTGCTCATCTGCTGCCATTTCTCATTTAAGTGGAAGAAATTTGGATTTCCCCTGACATGTGAGAGCTGAGTGCCTGTGGCAAAAAATAACGAATGGCAGAAGGTGGTCAGTGATACTGTATTTATACTGATAGTGGCTCCTCTCCAGTGAGCTGGAGAGAAGGAAATTTAGGAAAATAACATCTTCTTGGTCAATCTGACATCTACTGTCATGAAAACTGGGCTGAATAGCCGTGGGAGAACTCAGGAATGAAAGTAAAGGAGTGAAAAACATCTCCAGCTGTCATAAAAAGCAATGATTTGCAATTCCTCCCCTCTCCCAAGGCTCGAGATGGTCTTCACATGAGAGCTGCACCTCGAGTTTCTCTTGTGCTGGCTGCTGGACTGGCAGGGACAAGGAAAGACAAAACAACTTCTTGTCCTTTGGACAGCAACAGAGGCAAAGTGACTTACAAAGCTTAAACAAGTTTGTCATTTGAGGTCTCCTAAATCCTTCCCTAGTTCCTTCCTGCTCTAGGTCCATGCCAGCAGAGGCTGAGGGAGGGGAAAGGGAGCAGCAGATGCCCAGCATTGCTGAGTCTCAGCTCACCCCAACACAGAGTGGCTGCAGACCCTCTTTACTGAGCCCGCTGAGGACTCACAGTGGCGAAGTTTCCATTGTGGTTTGCAACTTTGAATCTTAGCCTGAATCTGACCCATCTTGCAAGTCAGCAACATCAGCTTGGGCTTCAAAGTGCTGATGAGAAGATATTTCAATACACAGTATTTTAGGGGTTTTAAATATACAGAGGTTCCTCAGATCCCTTCCCACCCCTGTCCATCAGCTGGGAGGACCAGGTTTCCCAGAGAAGCTGTGGCTGCCCCATCCTTGGAAGTATCCAAATCCAGGTTGGACAGGGCTTGGAGCAACCTGGGATAGTGGAAGGTGTCCCTGCCCATGGCAGGGGGTGGAACTGGATAGACTTTCAGGTTCTTTCCAACCCAAATATTTCTGTGATTCTCTGATTCTAAATATTGACTGCATCACCCCAGATATCAACTGAGCTGTGGGGGGATCCCAAAAGGACACAAAACTGCAGGCTTACCTTGGGTGGGGCAGGAGGAGGTTTGCCCTTGCTTTTTGTATTGCCCCCAGAAGTGTGTTTCTCATTGGGCATCAGCTGATTTTTGCTGCCAAACAACCCCATCCTGGAAGGAAGAGCAGAAATTTTTTTAAATGAGACTGCTTTTGGGGAAAGGTGCAGGCACTGAGGGACAAATTTTGCATTCATGAAGAAGAAGCTGGAGAAAATCAGAATGCAGGACGATGGCACAGTGAAGAGAGGAGTCGAAAACCATCCTGTCTACAGTCCTCTGCTACCTTGGACCCTGTGAATCCCACGGTTTCTGTTCCCACATGACTCTAGTGTTTCACACTTTGCAAATGAGGTTCAAACAGACACTACAAGTCACCAGAAAAATAAGAAAAAGAGGCTCAAATGACTGCTTTGGATATGTCCCCTCTCCAACTCAGAGATCCCCGTCTGACATCGCACTTGCTCCAGGGCTGGGTGATGCTGGAAGGATGAAGATGGATTTATCAACAGCCCTGTGCTGAGCTGGTCAGCTGCACCAGGGCTTCAGGAGGGTCCCACAGTCCCTGGCCCAAGAACGAGTCACCTCAGGCAGCTCAGGGCTTTCTGCAGCTCCTGTCCCTCCCACGCAGCCGGGCCAGCGCGCGGATGTGACCACACCTTGCAGGGAACCAGTCCCACTGTTCCCCACATTTCAGCAGCTCAGGCTCACACTTGATTTGTCCAGGAAGCCACAGGACCCCTCTGGCCCTTTGGAATACTGTGAGAAGTTTAAGAAATGTGGTGCAGCCTGCATCCATCCTGCCTGTAAAGTGTGGGCTGAGGGCTTGTCTCATCCAGCTGCAGTACTCTGGTACTTTGTGATGTGCTCTGAGGTCTCACAAGGTGTGGGTCTCCCAGAAATCATGGATTAGGTTTCCCTCTACCCTATGGATGTCTCAGACCTCCTGGACACCCCAAGGATCACTAGACACTAATGAATCAAGCCCTTTCCATGGATCATCATCTGGTCTGCGTTAAGGATTCCAAACTTGGGCTTGAGGACTGTTTGACTTTCATCCTAGAAATGTAATTTCAGCTCCAGTCTGGAATTCAAGGATAATAATGGGTCTGGGTAGCCAAAATGGCCAAACTCTTCTTGGAGCCTCAAAAATGAAGGAATAGATGAAGCCAGCTTTGCTGAAGTGCAACTTCCAGTGCCAAAGTCTGCCCCACTCCTGCTTTGAACCAAAGGCTTTGGAAGGTGTGGGCTACATGCCCAAAACTCCCAAAATTCAAACTCTGAAGTGCAGAGACGTGTCTCTGTGCAGAGACACATTGACTCCTATTTCTGCCAAAATACCTCAAGGTCTGCAGTGATCATGGAGGATCAGGGGCCTCAGGTCCAGGGACAACCCCCAAATGTCAGTCTGGCACTGTCTCTTGGTAGTCAGATTCCAACCAATGTGTTCAGAAAAGCTCTCAGCAAGCCAGACTCACAGGGAAAAATATTCCAGTAAAAGCAACTTTTTTTTTTTTTGCTTTCTAGCACAGATGTAATATTTTAAAATCTGGGACTCTAAAATGAGGTTTCTAATGAAGCCACCACAATATTGTAAGTTTGGTTTGTTGTTTTTTTTTAAATGTATTTTCCCTTCTGCTTTATTTTTATTATTACTGATAAGGTATGCAAAATAGAAGGAAATATTGAAATATTTCAGGATAGCCCAATACACACTTTCCCCCATCCAAAACTTTTTTCATCTCTGAGATTTCCTTTGACCTGGGTTTACAGATGGCCCATCCATCTGTCCCCAGGCCTCAGCTCCTCTCCAGGCACTGACAGCACAGTTGGAGCGGGAGTTTCACCTATTAAATCAACCAGAGCAGTTCCTGCAGCAATTTCATTTTTATTTGGCAGCCTCCGGGTTGTACCCAGAACTCGCTCTGCTTAGCAGATCTGGTGGTGCAATGGCACATGATTTATTAGGGAAACTTTTCCTGCTTTTCCACTCATAACTTTGTGCCAGGATTTCAGATTCTGGATCATGGGTTTTTTGCCACAAGAGTGGCTTTAATTTTCTTTTTTCTTATTTTTTCTTCTTTTTTTTTTTTTTTTTTTCTTCCAGCAGCAGGGAAAAGCAAGGTATCATTTAAAGTCAAGGCTGGACAATGGATAAGTTTCAGCTATCACTCATTAGCAACTGTGAAAGACAGAAAATCCACCTACATGTTTGGCATTGATTTGTTGTCCTTGTTATGGTCTCACTGGAAAATCCTGGGATCTTTGATATACTCTGCTCCCAAATGAGAGATAATTCATGCAACTGCCATATTTTTGGCAGATTTAGGGAGTGTGAGATACAGCACGAGTCAGCAATTTGCTTTGACTGCCAGTCATGTCACAAGGATGATCTTACGGGAGGATTGACACCTACAGGATTATGGATGCTTTTTTTGGGGTTTTCAGTTGCTCTCAATGTGTGATGGCAACGAAAGATATTTTGGCCATCAAATATATCCTCCCACACACATCCTCCCTCTCCCCTTCCGCTCTGTGTCAGGCAATGTAATTTGTCCAATCATAAGAACACCAGGTGCTCACATAATTAATGGAATACATTAAAAAATAGAACATTATTATTATTATTATTATTATTATTATTATTATTATTATTATTATTATTAATGTTTGTGATTATTTGGGGGCCTGCAAAAGGGTAAAAAAATGCTGTTGGAGATTGGACTCTCCGGACCAACTGATCTTCCAAGAGGGAAGGCAGCTTCTGGATGGGTCTTCACCTGGCAGGGACACCTGCAGAACATCCAGCCCAAAGATGGGGAACTTTTGGGTGGGTGAGTAAAAGCTCTCAGTTCTGGTCAAATACAGAGATAAATCCTAAAGTAGCTCCATAGGTGCTTTGCAATTGTGAATTCTGCAGGGCCAAAGACTGAAAATCTGTACATTTCCAGCTGAACTTGCTTACATTGTAATGCTTTAGTCATAGACCAAATCTGAGACTAAGTGGAGTGAGCCACACTTGGATTTCTTTGAGCAGTTTAGAAAGCAAGGAGGTCTCATGGCTCAACAAGATAAACTATGACCTGGTGACACTGCAACCACTGTAACAGATGATGGAGCTATTATTTAGATATTCATTGGCAATATTTATTGTATTATCTATAAATCTAATCATAATCATCCACACCATCACTGTGTCCTACTTCTCCCACTGGGCCAAGAATCTTCTTTCAACTAGGCTGGTACCCAGTGGTGGCAGAATAGGAAAGGCCTGGAGGAACATCAACCTCAGCAAGTCCAACCAGGGGCTTGGGACCATTCCAGCTCCTCTGGCAGGGTTTGAGAGGAGTGGGGACCACAACTTGACCTGTGCACCCCCGTGGGGACGTTGCAGCCCTTTCTGCACCCTGCTGAGACTGGAAACACCTCTCTGCAGCCTTGCACAGGCTCAGCTTTGTCCCCACGCACGTGTTGGAGACACAGCCGTGCAAAAGCAGCTCAGAGAGGGGAACAACACAGCCCACCTCGAGTCAAGCTTCCCACAAAGGTCACTCGCTCCCACCCACACACAGAAGGGGTTTGAACAGCGCTGAGGATTCACAGTCCCTACAAAATCCACCAGTCCCACTCTTCCAGTCACCTCCAACACCTTTGGCAGCCAAAGCCACCGTCCTTTGGGCCAGCAGGTGTTTTAAAAACCCAAAATAAGTCCTGCAGGCAAATGTTTCTGGATACAGCGAGCTGCTGGTTCCCATGTCACAGCTGGTGGAACCTTAGATTGGTAAAAAGTAATTTTATTTTCAAAAATAAAGGTGGCTGAGTTGAGTGTGCGTCATGACAATGTGTTTCGCTTCTGATTAATGCTTTTAAAAATTATCTTCACAAGAAAAAACAAATGAGAAATGCCACTTAGAATAGTCCTCCCACCCTGTTTTTACTTTTTTTTTTCCAGTGGAAAGGAGTGCTGGGGAGAGCACAACAACTCAGAAAATCATAGAAATTTCCTTTTGTGAATTTATAGTATTTCTGATCTAAAAATATTGGTTTTATTTAATAACTAAGAGAAGGGAAACTTTTTTTCTTCAAGCTTCCAAAACGAGTTCTTTTTAAAGTGACCAAAAGTCAAAGCAGAACAACCAGAACAAAAAAGTTTTAAGGCAACACAAAGTTTTTTCCACATTGCTCTTCATCAGAGAATGGAGTGATAGGACAAGGAGCAACAGGTTTAAACTGAAGGAGGGGAAATTTAGGTCTGATATACAGAAGAAATTCTTCCATGTGAGGGTGGGGAGAGCCTGGCACAGGGTGCCCAGAGGTGCCCCTGGAACCCGGGAAGTGTCCAAGGCCAGGCTGGACAGGGCATGGAGCAACCTGGGAAGGCAAAAGATGTCCCTGCCCATGTCAGGGGGTGGAATGGGATGGTCTTTAAGGTTCCTTCCCACCCAAACCATTCTGGGATTTTAAAATCCTATATGCATAAAAACATGTAGCATAAAACAGCTTCATAAACAAAATGATGGAATTCTTGGGGTGGTCCTGTGCAGGTCCAGGAGCTGGACTCAATGACCCTTATGTGCTCCTTACAACTCAGGATATTCTACAATTTTATGAGTCCAGCTTAGCTGCTGCTAGGTCATGAGTAAAGAATATTAGTTGTTCCTGGAAGAGAACAACTAATTGCTGAAGAAGCCAATAGACACAAGGACAACGAGCCCTGTGGTGCAGCCAGCCCTGAATTTGTGGGACAGACGTGCAGGTCACAGGAACACTGGATGTATGAGCCCATAAAACTGGGGTTCAAGCTGGGTGCCCACATTGGGGAATGATAGAATGCAATTTTAGCAGCCTTCACAGGGGTAGTTGAGGTGGCATTTTGGCTACAGAGAGGTGGGTGCAGGCTCAAGGGTTTCTGAAGGAATGAGTCAAAGGGAGCTCTTTGAAGAGCTTAGAATCACAGAATATTGGAACCCACAAGGATCATCGATCCAGCTCCTGGCCTTACCCAAGACACCCCAACAATCCCATTCTGTGCATCCCTGAGAGCATTGTCCAAACGCTCCCTGAGCTCTGGCAGCCTTGGGGCTCTCACCATTCCCTGGGGAGCCTGGTCAGTGCCTGATCACCCTCTGGGAGAAGAACTTGCCAATAATATCCAACCTAATATCCAACCATTGGCTACAGAGAGGTGGGTGCAGGCTCAAGGGTTTCTGAAGGAATGAGTCAAAGGGAGCTCTTTGAAGAGCTTAGAATCACAGAATATTGGAACCCACAAGGATCATCGATCCAGCTCCTGGCCTTACCCAAGACACCCCAACAATCCCATGCTGTGCATCCCTGAGAGCATTGTCCAAACGCTCCCTGAGCTCTGGCAGCCTTGGGGCTCTCACCATTCCCTGGGGAGCCTGTTCAGTGCCTGATCACCCTCTGGGGGAAGAACTTGCCAATAATATCAGCCTAAACCTCCCTGGAGCTGTGCATCCCTGAGAGCATTGTCCAAACGCTCCCTGAGCTCTGGCAGCCTTGGGGCTCTGACCATTCCCTGGGGAGCCTGTTCAGTGCCTGATCACCCTCTGGGGGAAGAACTTTCTTTAATATCCAGCCTAAACCTCCCTGGAGTCAGTTTCACACCCTTGCCTTGGGCTGTGTCATTTCAAATCTTTGCCCGTTTCATTTTCACAATGAAAGCCCTGCAACACCTACTGCCTTTGGCTGCTTTCCTCTACCAGGGAAAAAGAGATCTAAAGTCATTTCTGGTGAGGATCCAGCACCTTCTGCAAGAGGGATGTGGAGGACACTGACAGGCAGCCTTGAGAGTGCATAGGCGAGTATAGGAAAGGAAACAAGACCAAACTGAGCAGAAAAGCAGAAGTCTTGGATCACCATTTGCCTCAACCCCATGAAACTGCCATGGAAAAAAGAGGTTAATGCCCAAGTAAGTCAATAGAGTTTCACTCTGAGGGCAGCTCCAAAAAAAAAACCCCTAAACCTACTGAAATCACAAAATGAGCCCCCTTTCCATCCAGATTCTGTGGTGGGTGCGACACAGTGTTTTAACAGTTCAGCAAGTTCGGATATTTTAATTCATTTAAAAACTTACGAATGTCTATTTTTTTAAGAACACATTTTTAAAAGGAAATGGGTTCAAAAACCCTAAAAAAATTACTTTGAAAATGCAGATCTAGCCTATTATGAAAGGTTTTAAATGCTAGCTTTCTCTTTGCAAGTCCTCCCCTCTCCTGAAAGAATTGCTGAAATCAATTCACTTCAGATGCAATAATTTAAGTGTTCCAGATTTGCATTTTGCATCAACAAGGAGTGAGAAAGTTCAGTAAAAATAATTTCCTCCAGTTCTTAGAGCATCACAGATGCATTCAATTCTCTTTCCCCTCAATAATGTAGTTTTTCAGAACATTTCCTGACCTGGCACCCTTGGACTGCTTTGCAAGTCACAAAACTGAAGAATTACTGAAGATCTTGATGGATCAGCTCCTTAAATAAGAAGAAAGATTTGCTACTGAAGCAGTTTTTGCTGTGACCATTTTCTACTTCTGCTGGGTTTCTGTCAAGTCCTTTTTAGCTCATATTTTGAAATAATTTGCAGCTTTGTTGCTAAGAGGAGGTAAGAAGACAGCTCCAAACCAATGTGCTGTGCTATAAAGAGCATTAAAACCATTAGCAAGGTCTTTCTCAGAGGCAGAAGGTGGAGGCTACAGCCATCCTCTGTGATGTGGTGGCCAAAATCTGGCTGTCCCATCCCTGGAAGTGTTCAAGGCCAGGGTGGGTGAGCTTTGGAGCAACCTGGTCTAGTGGAAGGTCGACCTGCCCATGGCTTTAAGGTCCCTTCCAATCCAAACCAAGCCATTCTGTGATTCCATGATTCCAGCACTGCAGGAAGTCTCCGTGAAGAGCTGGAGAGCCCAGAGGAAGAAGCATCCTGGTTCTTGCTGGGGAGTGAAGCAAATGTTGGGTTTCCATGTTGCATCCTCACCAGAGAACTGGGAATATACTACTGGCAGTGTTCAGACCCCGTTTCAGTCCTGATCTTTGATGGATACCAGATTGTATTTGTGCAATGAAGACTCTGTCAAACACTCTGGTGAAGGGAAGGTGAAGAACCCCCAGGAGCAGCTGGGCTCTCCCACCGTGGTGAGGTGCTGAGGTTGAGGCTGATCCATCTTAAAACTGCACAACCAAAGAACACCAAAGCAACTGTAGCTGCCTCCTTCTCTTGGCCCCATCCTCCTCCTTCCCCATTCCAGGGCATCCCATCTCCCTGGCTTGAATTCTGTCCAGGCCCCATTCTTGAGCACAGCCAGTGTGGCCGAATTGCCTTGGAAATATCTGTTCCCTGGCAGCCCAGGGCAGATGAACAAATCCAGGAGCTTTGTGCTCCTGTAATTTATCCCAAAGTGAGTGGTACACATGTCAGGAAAGAGACTGAAGCCCACTGGCTTGTTTTAGGGTCTCCTGCTACAATCCAAGCCAGCTTTCCATTTCTATTACAATTTATAACTGCCCTAAATCTACCATTTTTCTTAGGCCATGATTTGCAGGTGAACCTGGCCCAAGCAATGAAACAAGCAAAAAATCCATCTGTTCCAGGTCTTTCTGAAGAGCTGGGACAATCTCTGGGAGAAGGCTGTGTGAGGCTGGGGGGGTGTGGGAGCACACAGATTTCCAGAACCTTGAGTTTAAGCAGACACAGAAAGTCTTTTGACAGGGAATTAAAAAAAAAATAAAGAGAAGAAGATAATAAAAGCTTCTTGCTCATTCCAGAAGAAGAAAACAGCCTCCTGTTGCCAGAGTGGTCATTCCCTAATCAAAACATCTGTCTGGAGGAAAAATGGCTGCTTACATTGAGCTTTGCATCCCGCTGGAAGCCGACGGATGCTCGGCTGGGCTGCAGGAGGCTGCGGGCCAGGAAACAGAGCCAGGGCTCAGGGTCTTGGAGAGGGGAAAAGCAGGAGGGCAGACTGCTTATCCCACCTCCCTTCATGCTTCCCTCATGAGCTCAGCCCAGGCAGCAAGGTGGTATGTCTGCTGGGAATGTCTCTGCAGGACTCAGGGGCTGTGGGATGCACTGGAGTGGGCAAGGAGGAGGATGGGTCCAGGAGAATGAGGCACATCCCTCTGGGTACCTGCAGCCACTCTGGGGTTCTTCAGGAGGGACAGGTTCTATGACAAAACTGCACTGCCCAATAGCACTTTCTGCAGAGCCCGGAATTTCAATTCAAATTTCAACTCAAACCTCTCTCTGCCCAGTGTTGGTGTAGGCCAAACTGTGGATGGGTCCTGGGTGAGCAGGGGAACAGCAGGGAGAAATCCCCTCCACAGGCCACCCCTATCTGACATCCAAACCCTCTGGAAGTGGGCACAGGCCATGCTCCCTTGGCCAGAATCCCTGATGCTCCATTCCACAGCACCTGGAGGACACATCACAGGAATCTGTAGGGATGTGGGGACGTCCTGGCCCTCCCAGCCCTGAGAACATGAGGAGATGGATGGGCTCCACACCTTTATATGTGGTCACCCAAACTTCTGCCCTGGGGAAGGCCCTTCCTGGAGGCCCTGCATTCCAGAGGATGACTTTTCCTAGGAAGGGGACAGCATTTTATAGGACCAAGAGGAGAAATGAACCTGGTGGCAGGCTGGTGCTCAGAAATTCAGTTCCTTGGGTCGGGTCTCAGAGGGAATGATGCTCCCTCCCACCACACTCAGCGGAGGCAAAGGGCTATAGGGAAGGATGTACATCTCCAATTCCCCACCTGAACGCCTCCAGCTGCGTGTCAGGAATAGCAATAGGATGTCAGAGCACTTCCCTACTCATCACAGCTGTGTCCATCTCCTGTCAGCCTTCCCCGCACACAAAACCTCTCTTCCCCTCCAGGCCCTGGGAGAATGGGGGGGATGGGATTGCCAGGATGTGCACACCTGGCACTTCTTTGTCTTCCCCTCCTTTTGCAGGAGACCAAAGGAACAACATCCCTGCAAACCATCCCTCGGCGCCGGATCCAGCAGGAGCTAGGAAGTGCCTCCATCATCTCCTTAACCCACAGATTGTGGGGAGGAGAGGAAATAGGACAAGGAGGAACAGAAGGGTGGATGAAGACAGAGAAAAACCTGCTGTGCCTCTCCCCACCCTCAGGGGAATGTGGATGGGGGTGGGATGTTCCCAACTTGCCTGCTTCCCACGCTGCTGCTCCGGGGGACACGATCCGAGGACGCACGAGCCACTGGTCGGACCCATGACAGATGCTCCATGGGGCTGAAGGCCCTTCCCAATTTTTTCTTTCAGAGGTCTCTGGATTCCACCACATCCACACCATCCATGAGACCAACAGCTTTACACCCACCGACCGCAGGAGCAGCCTGGTTTTGCAAATGCTTTTAATGGGATTTCTTTTTTTAATCAGGTCTTTGTGTCAGAACTGACTCTTTTCTCCCCCCCTAAGGATTCCTTGCTCTATTTTGATTATAAAAATGATCACCTGGGAGGGACTGGGAGTTGCACTTCCCAGACAACCTGGCCAATGAAAATAACAATGAGGAAGGCGAGAAACACAAAGAGAATCCAGACACAAACCCCAGCAAATGCCACAGGCTATTAACAGCTGTCAATAAAAGCAGTGAAAATGACTGTGAATGGATGTGCTTCCACTATTAAAACAACCAAATTTTAGGAAACAACCCAACAAACTGGCTTTGCAATGATCTTTCCTTTCTGTCACTAAAAAAAAAGACCTTTTACTGATGAAACACATCTTGTTCCAGCCAGCTCCATCCCTCTATGAACCTACTCGACCATAGCAGCGTGGTCTAACGAATTAAGACTGGTCAGGGACTTGTGGGTCGCTCTGAGGAAGTGACTTTCTCACTTTGCCTCAGCATGTTCAATTGAGAGACTGAAACTATGTCCTGGGAGATAAATGTTGTATAAGAAGCAGGATTTGTTTCTGTAGAGGCTTCCCATGGTGGATGTGTAATGAGCTGACTCCTCTGCAGTGTTTTCAGTGTATTTTTTTAAGCTGTTGCAAACACATGGCCCCCAAAAACCACTATGTACACCTCTGTGGGAAATTGCATGGCGTCATCTTTGCGTTGTAAGTGACAGCAGGAGGGAAAAGGACGCTTGGTGTCAGCCAGCTCGAGGCTGGGATGACCTCACATCGTTTACACTTCAGCTGCCCCCACTGAGCAGGACAAACACGAGCCAACATCTGCCGGGAGTGATGCACAAGCTAAAGGTCACCCCACACTGGTGATGTTGTTTACAGGAGGAAAAGCTTCACAGGGTAGATCTGAGCTGAGGTCATGGCAGAGGACCTTTACCAGCCACAGGACACAAGAACAACAAGAGGGTGGCTGAGGACACGATGATGTGTGAGATGGGGGCAGCTGCCCCAAGGTTCTCGTGGCTGGTGCCCCCTCTGGAAGCATGGGATGGGAAGCAGCCTTGGCTCTGCAGCTGTGCTCCTGACAAAGGAAGACAACCCCATGGAAGGCTGCAAGGCTGTCTGGGCCATACACAGGGGCCTGCAAGTCCTTGGGGGTCACACTGAGACCATCACCCTGGAGGGTCAGCACAGACTCTCAGAATCTCTAAATCCCAGAATCCCCGAATCTCAGAATAGTTTGGGATTGGAAAGGGCCTCTGGAGATCAGCCAGTCAAACCCTCTTGCTAAGGCATGATCACCTGTAACAGGTGGCACACGAACATGACCAGGTGGGTTTGGAATGTCTCCAAAGAAGAAACTTCACGCCCTCCCTGGGCAGATGTTTCAGTGCTCTGACACCCTCAACATAAAGAATTGCTTCATCATGGTTGAGGTGGAACTTCTTGTGGTTTATTTTATGTCCATTTCTGCTCATCCTATGGCTGGGCACCACTGAAAAGAGCCTGGCACCATCCTCTGACACCCTCCAAGCCTGGGTGACACTGAAGACAACCAGGACAGACACTCAGCCCAGCAGGTCTCAGGTGTGCCTGCTCTTAGAGACACAGAAATGAGGAAGCCCTTGCAGATTTGCCAGACTTCCCCCTTGTCAATTCCCATTTTCCCTTCCCAATTCTCCTCCAGCTGAGGGCAGGGGATGGAGGTGGAGCTCCTCAGGTTTGGGGCTGGGGAAGAAGAGGGCAGTGTCAGGTTAGGTGGAGGGCTTTGAGCTTTAAGACAGGGCCTCGCCATTTGGTGGGCAACCTCTCTTTGCTAAATGAGCTTCACTTCCTATCCCTGTGAAAAGGGAAGTTGCTCTTTTAGAAAGATGCTGTCATCCACCACCGAGGTGGGAAGGAGGAGCTACCACGAGGTGCAGCAAAGGCTGAGCACTGCTGTAGTGTCTGCCAAGTCATCCTGGGAACAGGGCGACAGCGTGGCAGCTCCAGATAGAAACCTGCTTCTGCTCTGACACGCATTCCCACTGCTGACAGCGGGGAAACCCAGCAGCTGCAGCCGCCTGCTGCAAAAGCCCTGCCAGTGATGGCCACAGTTCAAGCAGCTCAAAAGTAAGAATTAAAAATAAAAAGGATTGGGTGTGCTGTGGTTGGCCTACTGCATCCCAGGGAGGTCTTTCTGGTATCTAAGTTATCCTGTGTGTCACCTGGAGCACATCCCTTCATCCTTGGGCCCACACTGTTTCCTCCAGCCTGGGAATCTCATGGCCACGAGATGGAGCTTCTGGAAGCCCAGAAAATTTGCTTCCTCAGCCCAGGGATGTCCTCTGAAAGCAGCTGGAGGGGGAACCCTGAGAAAGTTTGTGAAAAAAAGCACTAAAAAGGGAAAAAGTCTCTCATTTGCAGCTCCCAGTCACTCCAGATGGGCTCCATCTGTCCCTGTTTCCCCAACCTGAAAGCACAGGCTGTGATCTCACCCAGACAAGCAGGGTCTTTCTGGTGGTGGCTTCCACCCTGTTTTCATACGTCAGCCCCCAGATGTTCTCCAGTGCCTTTGCAGGCCCTGACACGAGTGTGAAATCATGGAATTATAGAATCACAAAATAGTTTGGGTCCGAAGGGACCTTAAGGATCCTTCAGTGCCACACCTTCCCATGGGCAGGAACACCTTCCATTATCCCAGGCTGATCCAAGCCCTGTCCATCCTGGCCTTGAACTCTTCCAGGGATCCAGGGGCAGCCACATCTTCTCTGGGCAACCTGTGCCAGGGCCTCACCACCATTACAGGGAAGAATTTCTCTCTAATATCCAATCTAAACCTACTCTCTGTCAGTTTGAAGCCATTCCTGGGAAAGCCTCCCTGCAGATGACCCCACAGCCCACCAGGATGACCCCACTGCCAGACTTGTGCAGTGGTGGCACCTGCACGGCCTCCTTGTGCAGCAGTGCCCATCCCGTGGCATTTTATCCATTTCACACTGACACAAAGGCATTCCTGTTGGGATTTCTGCTGCAGAAACAACTCCAGCTTTGAACTGAGCCCACCAGGAGGATGAAGGTACCCCTGCTTTCCTAGCTGGCCCCCAGGACTGCTTCCCTATCCTGCTGCTGCAAAAGCTGGGCAGCTCATTTCCTCTAGACTTTGTTTTCACAGGCTGGCCAAGCTTTTCTCTTCCCTTTTAGGAATGAGTAGTCTCATTTACCATCAGAACCTCCCTGTTCCCACACCTCTAGCAGCTTATTTACAGTGTCCTGCTGCTCTTGGAAGACACTGATGTGTTACAACCAACCCACCAGACTCCATTTTGAGAGTTCATTTTTGAAGCTCTCCGAGGACTTTTTGAACGCCAAGGCAGCATCTCAACTACTAAAACAGGCAATATTGGAGCTCCTCCCCCTCTTAAAATTTTGGTGGCTGCATCCAAACTCCTGGTGATCCCCATTCTACAGGAGCTGTGGTGGCTCCTGTGGTGGATTATATTTATCTATGTATGTTTATCATGTTTATGTAAAGTCTATCCTGATTTCACCGCCCTCCTGTTGGATCTCTGCTTTGCAAGAGACTGGCTATCCCTTTTTCCCTGATTTTAAGGAAAACAGAGGATTTTCCCTGATCTCATCCCCGTGTTTGGGATGACACTCAGACACAGTACCAGGTACCAGATTGCCCCGAGTGCAGGGTGAAGATGGGTTCCCTCTTGTTTCACTACCATTATTTATCATTAAATCCCATTGGTTTTGCAGTGATATCTCTGGAGACTGGGATGAAAATGCAGGTTATGCTTGATGGCAACTGGGAGATATTCTGCTAGCAATTGCCACAAAGAGATTTTGTCTGGATCCCGTGAGGAAAAGCCTTTCTGAAAAGAGAAAGTGACTCCTACCCAGGCCAGTTTTCCCTGCCAAGCTTGTCCTATACTCACAACATGACTATTCCTGACTATTTGCAGCAGCCAAGACCTTGTCTCAATATTATTTCCTTTCTGATGCTCGTAAAGAAAGAAGAAACCCATTGCTTTTTAATCCCTTACCCAAAATTAGAAGATTAACTCGATTTTCAGAATTAAAATAATACCAAAACACCCTTAAGGTGCTCGAAGGAGACAGAAATGTGACAGAACAAAGCCAAACCTCACAACCAGGTTTGTTACAGAAAGTCATTATTTATGGCACTGAATTGATGGGGCTGATCCACTCTCAGGTTACCTCACATTTGATCTGGCCTGAAGTTATTGCCTCAGAGCTGGAAGAAATCTTATTTCCTAAAGTTTCTTGCTTTTCCAGTGTCCATCCTCTGCCTGGCACAAGCAGTACTGCACTAAAACAACCAGGATTTCTTCTCACCTGGTTAGGACAAGTCTTGTACAGAGTCCCACATTCACAATTCCCTTCCATTCACAGTTATTATTCCTTGGCAGACCACTGAGTGACTTTTAGAATGCTTTTTCCAACTTTTCACCACAATTTTCAGGGGAAAAAAAAGCATTCCATGGGAAATCACCACCTTTCAAAACGTTCTGTCACACAAACACCACGAGTATTGGCACCTTTCACTGGAAAAAAAGAATAATAATCGTGCAAGTCTGCTGCATTAATGTCTCAAGCAGCTGTGCTCTTCTTCCTCTGCTTCTAAAATGGTCAAGGCCAAATATGCAAGAGACAGCCAGGAAAAAACATCGAGATAAAAGTAAATTTAAAGCTTTTCTATCAATTTCTCTGCCTGCTTAGATTGGCATCACTTGTCCCTCTTTCCATCATGCATTACAGGTGACCCCTTGATTTTTCCACAGGTCAAATTTAACCTCTATTCAAAGCCCACTTCTCAATCATCATCCTCCCACAGACACATTTCGAGAGCTTCTACCCCAA